AGCCATTTCCTCTGGCAGAGAAATCTCTTGGTCTGAATCCTCAGAATCCATGTTAGTCTTCCTTGGGGGTCTATTAGGGGGATTTTTGGCTCCCTTCTTCCCTCTAGCCCTTCCCATACCTGACCTTGAAGTTTGTTTCAAAGTTGGTTTTGTTTTTTGAGAGCAAATTGTTATTTTTCAGTGGGAGTAGCAGGAGCGTGGAAGGGATGCAGCCAGCTGGAAGCTCAGCTACCACGCCCTCAAGAACATCTAATATTCAGAGAAATCAGTTCATCCTGCTCTTCTCAGCAGTTATCTCTCCTTATAAATAACTGAGTACTGGGGTGGCACTTTCTGAACATTCCACATGCTCCTAAATCAGTTGGCTCCATGATGTGTCACCCAGAAGCTGTCCCTATCCACTGGCTGCATTGCCTGAGTCCGGCCCACAGAAGCGGCGCCCACCAAAACTTTCCTCAGAAGACGGTTGCTTTGCTCTGGTGAACACAGCTTCTGCTCCTCTTCCCCACCCATTCCCCCTTCAGCCACTGTTCCCTGTCAGAATTACTCACAAACGGCTGTGTCTCCGACGAAGAAACTTCTTCTGCTTGGCTCCTCTGTGGGACTAACTTTTCCCTCAGTAGCTGTGGCTAGGCAACCAAGCTTGGTTCTGTCAGTAAAAAGACAAAGAAAGGAAACCCTTTCCAGGCCTTTGTGAGGATCTCATTGGGGCCCGTCCTGACTAGGGTTGCCAGCTCCAGGTTGGGAAATTCCTGGATATTCTGTGTCTAAGGAAACCAGGGTTTGGGGAGGGGAGAGACCTTAGCTGAATAGAATGCCATAGAGGCCACCCTCTAAAGGAGTTATTTTCTCGGGGGGGGGGAAGAGATCTGTTGTCTGGTGTTCAGTTTTGATCCCAGGTGATCCCAGACAACAGAGATCAGTTCCCATGGAGAAAATGGCTGCTTTGGAGGGTAGAGGAGGCTACCTGGCAGGCTACCAAATAAATGCTGTTGGACTCCGTACTTGATAGTTCAAAAATACAAGAGCCGTAAAGTTGCTATTAGACAGACAGGCTATGCTTATAAGCAATGGTTTCATAGGGTTATGAGGATAGGGTTGCTAGCTTTGGCTTGGGAAATTACTGGAGATGTAAGGGTGGGGCCTGGAAAGGTTGGAGTTTGGGGAGCGGAGGGAGCTCAACAGGAATACAATACTATAGATTTCACCCTTTGCAGCTGCCATTTCATCTAGGGGAACTGATCTCTGTAGTCTGGAAACAATTAACATTTTCAGAACTCCAGGTCCCACCTGGAGGTTGGAAACCCTGTATGAGGTTTGTATCCTCTATTTACAGCCTTCCCTCTACATTCTATTGAGAGAAGGCCTGTGGTTTTTCCTGCTTCTTTTTCCTTCCAGGTTTTGTACATTTGGACACCCCTGAAGTGCAGAATCATGGAAGTAAAATTCAGCATTTAAAATGCTGCTATGACCATGAGAAAAAACTACTCCCGCCCTGACCTGGATAGCCCAGGCAAGCCCAATCTCGTCAGATCTTGGAAGCTAAGCACGGCTGACCCAGTGGCAAGAACTTGGACGGGAGACTTCCAAGGAATACCAGGGCTGGGATGCAGAGGCAGGAAAATAGCAAGCTACCTCTGTCACCAGAAGTCAATCATGACTTTCAGGTGAATGTGTGTGCACGCATACACCCACACACATACACACACACAAATACTCACCAAAAAAAGAGAGAAGAAACTATTCCCCAATAAGACAGGCCACTTTAATGAGTTTGTTAGTTGTTGGGGGGAATTGGCCATCAAGGCTACCAGGAAGAGTCCTGGTGGGCCAATAGCCCAAGGGATGCCATCCACTGGGCCACCCAGTCCTTAGAGCCACCCCACTGCATAGACCATCCCAAGGTTAAGCAGCTAGATTGGGTGAAGACTCCAAACCACACATGGGGGTGTAGTGGTCTAAAATGGAGCTGTTACTTTGTTTGAGTGTTCCTTCTTGGCTCCTTCTTGGTTGGGAACTCTAGGAAGCATGTTTTGCTATGAAGGATGACAGAGGGGAGTGATGATAGATTTAGGTGGGTCTGAAGCAATAGAACAAAATTTGAGTCCAGTGGCACCTTTAAGACCAACAAAGTTTAATTCTGGGTAGAAGCTGGAGAACATTGCTACTTTGGATGGTGGACTCTATGGTATTATTCTCCACAGAGTTCCCTTCCCGCCCCAAATCCTGCCCTCCCCAGGATCCACCCCTAAATCTCCAAGAACTTCCCAATCTGGAGTTTTATTTATTTATTTGAAATATTTTTATTCCACTTTTTCACCTGATTAGGGTCCACAACCCTACCCTAAGCTTATATGTAAATTTTTATTAACTGTCTCAGAGGTCCTCTCTACTGAATCACTTGCATGTTTACAACTGGATTTTAACTTCATGTGGAATAAAGATATTAGAGTTCTGTCAAGATAAGGCTATTGAATCCAGTTATCAGTTCATGCAAAAAAAAGAAGTGGAAATGATAAATGTTCTACTGTGCCTTCATGATGATAGGCTTTTGCTGTAGAGTACATATTGTACAGTGCTGTTGAACTCGATGGGCTTAAAAGGGTGTATGTAACTCTATTAAGGATTGCATTATTCAGCCACTTTCTATGTTGCCTTTATCAGTTTTAAAACAGAAATGGAGGCCATGTTTACATGAAAATTTATTTCACTTTAAAAACCATTTGTTTTTACCAAGAGATTCAGATAACTGTAATTGTACTACAAATGTCCAATAGTAGCATGATAGTAGTTTTTATGACATAATGATGCACTGAAAGACAAGGTTAAGTCATGCAAATATTCCCAAACTATTTTGCTTTTGAAATGACCATGAAGATGCATTCATGGGGAGGATATGATGCACCAGCAATGTATGTGTAAACTTTGCAGTGATTTCTGGTATTCTTTCTAAATGTACTGGTAGAAGTCTCTGTGAAATATTCCATTAAAGATTATTTGCATTAACTGAAGTGTTTAGTGTGCAAATTTTGCAATTTAAGTCTGAATTCCTTGCTTTGTGAGTACTGATCTTTCTAGTATCAGGGCAAATAGCTCTGGGTTAAGTGAACATTATTTAAAATGAGAAGACAGAGCAGTGGGAAATGGTTAAGAATCAATCCAATCTGCCCCCTCCCAAAGGTTGTTATTAATATAAAATTATCCATTTATTTAGAGACTTTATGTCTTGCGTTTTTATTTCTTTAAAAAAACATTCACAATAAATAAATATCAACTTTTTAAAAGTTCAGGAAAAAAAACTGCGCAATAATTAATTTTAAATGGGTAGGTGGGTCAGCTGCTGAAAACACCCAATCATCCTATCATCTTTACTTCTGTTAGTGTGAGTTCCTTGAGCATTGCACCACCAGATGACCTCAGATAAGTAATTCTGACATCTAGAGGTCATTTACACTAACTGCAGAGGCAAAACTGCATATGACCCCCACATCTTGTTTATTTTATACTGTCAGGGATTTAAATCATTCCAGAGGCTTTGTTTTGTTGGTGTGCTGAAATCTTTTGGCACCTTAAAAATTAACAAAATTTTATTCTAGCATAAGCATTCATGGTTCAGACCCCACTTTTTCAAATGCTATAGAGTGAACCTTCACTTTGCATTCATTTTACATAGGTTTTGGATGAACAACAGAGAGGTTTTGGATGAACAACAGAGTTAAATGTAATTATGTAAAATAAAAATATAACCAGGAAGAGGTGCAGAGACCTTTAACTGGTTATGCTAAGCTATTTGGGATGTCTTGGGTATTGCAGGTTTTATTGATAGTTGTAGTATAGTGAGATAAATGTTTAAGCACTGGTTTAAACCCACAGGAAATAGTGAACCTTTGATTAAATCCCAATTCAGCCAGTTAATGATTAGAGCATGGGTATCAAACTCATTTGTTATGTGGGCCGGATTTGACACAAATGAGACCTTGTTGTGCCAGGCCATGTGTGTCATAAAATGTACTGCCAGGTAGTGGAAATATATACTTTATAAAGGATATAAACACAAAGATTTTTTTAAACTTAAAATAAAAACATGCTTACAACATTAGCAGTCTTGCAATATTTTGTTTATTTAACAGTATCTGATATAACTGTTGCTCTGAATTATTGTATCAAAATGTCTGTGCTGTTGCAAAGTTGAGTATGCTGTTCAAGTGTATATCTGTAAGCTGCAAACCTACTTTTGATTTATTGACATTCATCACAGAAATCTCATGTCAGAGTTCTGAGTCTGGGACCCAGGTTAAAACATGAAGTGTCTGAGTGATTAAGAGAGTCTGGTGAAGCAAGGTATGATGCAGGAGCAGAACTGGAAGCAGGAGATGGCCGGTTCCACTGTGGGCCTGATAGAAGCCCTCCTGGGGCCTGATCTGCCCCGCCCCTCCGGGCCGCATGTTTGACACTCCTGGATTAGAGTCTTCCTTTCAAGTTCTTTTGTTGAAAATTTTTAACTCTCAGATAGAAACAGAGTTCTGACAGTTGAAATGCTTGTTCTTCCAGGCAACAAAACTTAATTTCTGTTAAGAAAGACGATCAAGGCTCAATCTTGCTGGACGCACGCACTTTAGAAACCAGTACTGAGAGATCTACTCCCAGAAAAGTGTTTTTAGGATTGCATGATACTTACCGGAGAGCGGGATTGTGTGCAGTCTCAGAAACATTGGTTTTGATTCGCGTGGTCAAGGGATGGGATTTAGCTACAAGAAACAGACTGAAGAAGCCTCTCATACCTTTGCACTTCTTCCCTGAGGCAATTGTGTACGGGGAGAATAACCAAATGTTCCTCGTTTCAAAGACTACCAGCCCCATAATGCAATACGAATTGACCTTTGTGAACAACGTCGGTAGAGGGAAATGAAAGCGGTATAGGCGAAGGAGGGGAGAAGCCGCCCCGCCTACTCACTAAGCTCCTCCCACCCTTTCGCAGAGGGTCGCGATAGGGCATTCGATCAAGAAGAAGCCACTGAAGGGGAAGGGGGAGCGTTTGCGCATGCTTCCTGGATCTCTTCCGGGCGCCATTTTATGAGCGTCGGGCTGGGAGCGGAAGGCCACGTTTTCTTTCTCAGCTGCCGGTTGCCGCGTTGCGCTCTCCTCCGCTTCCCGCATCATGACGGACCGCTACACCATCCACAGCCAGCTGGAGCACCTGCAGTCCAAGTACATCGGGACGGGTCACGCGGACACCACCAAGTGGGAGTGGCTGGTGAACCAGCACCGGGACTCCTACTGCTCCTACATGGGTCACTTCGACTTACTCAACTACTTCGCCACCGCCGAGAACGAGAGCAAGGCGCGGGTCCGCTTCAACCTCATGGAGAAGATGCTGCAGCCGTGCGGGCCTCCGGCCGACAAGCCCGACGAGTCGTAAGGTGGACCCCCCCCCCCCTCGGCCACTTGGCTCGGCGCGCTCCCTGAAGCCAGGAAGAGAGACTGCTCCGTAAATCGGCGCCCGCTGGAAGGGAGTGAGAAGCTTGGGGACACCGCTGCGTAGTTGGCCGGCACGACCCTGCCTTCCCCCGGCCAAGGCTGCCCTCCCTGGAACTGGGCGCATCGCACCGGCTTAGTACTGTCGCTGTTTCACAGACAAGCTGGAGAGGGGTGTGTGATTTGGGAGCTTCACCTGGTTGCTGCCGCAACGTCAAAGTGTGGCCGGGCGCTCCAGAGACCGAGGCAGCTACAGTGGCCGGTTTCTCTGACTTTCTTAGGCGTACAAGAATACAAGTGGCTCGTATCAAGGACACTGGACGGTGTTTTTGTTTTCATACAAGAAGCTTGTGCCGGGTTTTTTTTGGGATGGGGGAGTTTGGTGATATCCTTTTAATAAATGTCGAGTGTTTAATCTTTTTGCGTGCAAGACTTAATCACAATCGCAAGCGTGGCTAGAACCGTTGTTGGCAGAGGAGCTGTACTGAATGGAGAGCAAGCAGGGAGAATGAGTCACTTCAGTTGTGGTACAAGATGAAAGGTAGCAGAAAATTAGTCTCAAATAATTGTAGGCAAGATATATATTGGGATGCTCTGGTATCTGCGAAGGATTACTCTTGAAGTTCTTATTGAAAGGACGGTGTCTGGGTGTCACAGATGTTCTGTAATCTGCATCTTTTAGCCATAAACTTCATGCAAGTTCCTGTTTACTCAGTTCACTAAAATGTGTTAAAAACAGTATTGAGGTGATTAAAGGTGATTATCCCTGACAAGTGTTCATCCAGTTGCTGCTTGAAGACTGCCAGTGAGGGAAAGCTCACCACCTCTGCAAGCAGCCAGTTTCACTGCTGAACTATTCTTACCATTTAAAAAGTTCTTCCTAATATCCAGTCAGTATCTCTCCACCTGTAATTTAAACCCATTGTTGTGAGTTCTATCCTCTGCTACCAATAAGAACAGCTCCCTGCCATCCTCTAAGTGACAGCCTTTCACTTAAAGTGAGCAGTCATCCCCCCCCCCCCCCCAGTTTGTTGTCGTGGTTAAGAGCACGTCCCCTCCTCTTGATTCCCCACTCCACCAGCAGCTGCTGGGTGACCTTGGGCAAGCCACAGTTCTCAGCTGTTCCTCAAAGAGCGCTCTCAGCCCCACCTACCTTACCAGGGTGTCTGTTTTGGGGAGGGGAGGGAAAGGAGATTGTAAACTGCTCTGAGACTTCCAAGTGAAGGGTGGGGTATAAATCCAATCTCTTCTTCTCTAGCTTCAAATATTTGTGGATGAATAATGCATTTTCCTCCCACTCCTACATCAAGACCCATCCTTTAGCAGAGAAATCCCCACATGGTTTCAAGAGCAGGTCTTGTTTGAAGTCACTCCCATAATTTGATACGAACTCTAGGAAACAAACTGAGTCAAGTTCTAAGAATCGTGATCTTTCATTCTTTATTATTGTGATCCATCATTCAAGCTTCCTGAGATGCTGGATTTCATTTGATGCAAAAAGTACAGTACTTTGCTGCCATGCAAAGCCCTGAGTGCCATTCTGTCCTATTTTCTGCCCTGTGCTGGAAACCTGAAAGCAGTAGAGTACTTGCTTACTTATGTTGTGAAATAAAACCAGCTCAACATGTGCCTGTGTAGGCTTCACTCCAGACGGGCTGTTTTTTCTCAATCTGTAAAACTAAGTCTCTAGACTTAGTTGGTGCATACACAAATGCATTCGGCAGGGAGTTGATTTGATGCCCTATGAGACTCCTGCTAAGATTTAAATATGTTACAGCATATCATCAGAACCACTCCTACAGATGTATCCTCTGTAGTTATAGCTCCGATAGCAGACTGGAAATAATGCAATGTAGTCACAACAACAGGACTTAGAAACAGTGATATTGCATACATGAAGGGAAAGGGCTGCAAAAGGAGCAGAGGTCTTAAAGGGGAGGATTGAAAGTTCAACATAACAATAAACAAACATTTAGAGATGAGTTTGCACATGGCGGAGAGTGTACAAAGGCAATGGACCCTGTCAAGTTAATCATCACAATATAGAAGAAACCAGTATTTGAGGTGATTAACAGTACATTCCTAAGGAGACTTTTCTGGGAGTAACCCCCATTGAGTAGCCTTCAGTAAGATTCTGAGTAGACCTGTTTAGGACTACACTGTAAATCACTCTAGTCTAAAAGGCATCCAAAAGCTTACAGAAAACTCATGTACTGTAAAAGCAAGTTTCATGTTTGAAAACACCTTGTCAATGTAATTTCCTCCCATAATTTTCCCTGTAACTATTTCTTGATCTGGAGGCTATCCAAGAATTTCAGTTGGGGCTGGAGAGTTGCCTAAATATGAGAGCGCGCATAGTGTTCTATTAACAATGGCCTATGTGGGTGTGGAATGAATTTTACATTTCAGCATTTTTCTTTATATATATTGTTATTTCATAGAACAGAGAAGAGGAGTGACTTTGTTAGCTGTAATAATTCCAGAAGGATAACTTTGTTAGGGTGCTGTAAATAGACTTCTGATAAGACTTCACACATTTTTATTCTATCAAACTTTCATAGACTAGGCACTCCGTTTGTCAGATGCAGTTTGATGTGTTGCATCTGATGTTGGGTGTCTGGTCTATGAGAGCTTATCCTTAGATAAAGACTTGCTAGTAAGGTATCTCCAAGATTCCTATTTAATTTTGTCAACTGAATTTCATAGCTCTTTGTGGGGGCCTTTGAACCCAGTCTGGAATATCAGGCTATTCTGTTTACACAGAATATTGGGAATTTGCTTTTGAATTAATGGAGACTGTAACTTAAGCAAACAATCCAACAGCTGTGTGTATAAAACCTATCAACAGCAAGAGGCTTAAGCAGACTTACCTCTAGTAGGCATATAACCTATAGAGCTACACAACAACATATTTCTTACCCAGACTCGTTCCCATAAGCAATAGGTGTTTTTTTCTGGGCTGGTCCAGCAGAAGGTTCCACAGCATATCCTTAAAAATAACCATCAGAAACACTTTTGTGAACGCATCTGCAAAAAATACATTCTAGACATGATCCTGGAAAAGTCAAACAATACTTTGTAGCATTTTCAGTGTTCATGGCACTTCATGTAAGTTATCACCATTACCCTTAAAATACTGAGTAAAGTAGGCTGAGGATGAGAGCATAGCTTGCATAAGGCTACCTAAGTGAGCTTGCTCCTGAAATGAGATTTGAATTGACTCTTTCTGCATTGGTGGAGGAAGGTATCCTTGTATGGGTTGTGCTTTGTCCTTGCTCCATAGGCAGAATGTATGCAAATTTCTTGCGAACCTTTCACTCTCCTGTGGAGGTGCTCCAGCTCTCCAGTCCATGCCTTGCTGCTTCCGCAGTTCTCCCACCTCACTTACTAAAAATGCAGGCAAAAGTACCTTTAAAAATTGATGGTCTCCACCAGTCACTTATGAATGGCTGTGGTGGAAAGTAAATAAAGTTCCCTGAAGAGCAGGTCTCTTTTCTCCCTAGGATCCAACCGGCCAGTGTAACATCAGCATAGGCTCCAAGCCACCAGATACCTGTGGCAGAACCAAGCCATGGTCCTGGTTCCAAAGACAGGATGCTTTCCAGAACCTTCTGTATTTCATTGATTGTGCCCAAGAAACACAGCGCTTGCAGACCATTCCTAGATCTACAGTGTTGTCAGATGGCAAGGGGGGGGGGTTGGCATGGAGAGCCTCCAACTCACAGTTAGCAGGGGACTTCTTGGTCTCCATAGATTTGCACGAGGCGTATATGTAGGTTCCCATGCATCCAAGCACCAGACAGTGCCCTAGCTTGCATACTGATACCAACACCTTTATTATGGAACTCCTATATTGGGGTTCTCCCCTCCCTGGAACCTTCATCCCTTTGATGGTTTCTGCAGAGGCCATATCAGGTCATTAAGTGTATGTTTATATCCAGGCCACCACACAAATGACAGGACATCCGGGACATTAATTCACCCTACTGGTCCTCCACACCCACAGGTCTTGGTTTCACCAGATAGTCACCCTCATTCTCAGGCCATCATCCATCTTGAGATGTCAATTGACTCTGATTGATCCTCTATCGCCTTCCAAGAAAATGTCACTTAAGTCTCTGGGAAGATCTGATGGCCCTGATACAAAAACTGGGTCCCGTGTTCTCCTACCTAGTGACTGTGCCATGATTCCAATTCCACTCCTGTCCCTTTTAATGGCTCCAGTTGCCTTTTCAAGGGGCATCCTTCACCATCATTGGAGGAACATCTATATATCTAATAGCCAAGTTGCCCCCGGAGTGCGGATCGCTAAATCAGTGCTCCGGGGGCACTTGGGGGGGAGGGGGAGGTTTGTGCACACGTGGGCCAGTCC